ACACAAAATAATGTTCTTTTTAGCAGCATCATATGACCCCTTTAACTTGTAAAACAAATTACAAAAATATTAAAAATGTTTAAATCATTACAAAAAAATTAACAAAATCCCAAAGATATATATATATATATATATTTTTTTTTTTCTGACTATGATTTCATATGTCAGGCTGTACCAGGGTTAAGATGAGCCGTGTGCCTGCAGAAAACACATTAAACTAACCAAACTGCTGGAGGACGTCAGTACCTCTCTAATTTACACCCGTTGTTTGGTTAGATTAGTTATATCATGTGTGTGGATGGATTCTCTTTACTAGTGTGTGTCGAGGGAAACTTCATTGAGTGAAAGGTGCTGGAGTTTAATTTCACGCAGCAGGCAGAATATATTCTGTTTCCTTTCATACTTTTATCCTCGTCTGACTGACAGACAGACGGCTAGAGATAGGAGAATAAAAAGAAAAACAAACAGGGCAAACAGGTGGAATTAGGAAGAGAAACACCAATCTATTCCTCAGACTACAGGTACGTAACTTTAAACCTCCGTCTTGAAGCTCAGAGCCGTAATGCTGAATTCACGACTTCTGCGCTCGTTTAAAGCCAAACAAGGTCTCAGAAAGAGATTTGTGTGTTTTCTTGGAGAAAGCTTGAGCAGATGTCTCTTCAGATCCCACTCTCTGGTTGTTTCTGAAGCGCGCCGGAGGATGAAAGGCTGAGATAAGCGCTGTTTCTGAGGCCTTTGTGCGCTCGGCGCCGGTGTAGCGATGGTGTTGGGTGTCTTTAGCGTGTCATTCTGCTGTCAGGGTTTAAAGCGTGAGAAATCTCTTCCTGTGGCAGCAGTTCTGAGGTCAGCAGGTGTTTGTGACCTCTGGTTGGCGAAATATAAAATAATGCAAGTTAAAGAAGTGTTTCAGCTCTGGTTGGAGAGCATGCCTGAAGGTTATGGGCTCAATGTTAGAGCTTCTACGCAAAATCCGTCCAGGTGACATTTCACCTCAAAACCAAAACAATTATAGTTCGCATTAAGAAAATAAATGCCTATTTTTATGTTTTATGGTATTACATTAAGCGTATCATTAATCTGAATGTTGATTTCCATTAGATTCTAATTACTGTAATTTTTTTTTTTACAGTAGAAATACTTTATTGTTTTGAAATTTATTCTTTTTAAATGTATATTTAAATATTAAATGTTACTTGTTTAGTGTATTTTATTGTATTCTGTTATATTGCATTACAGTAATTACAAATTATTTGGAAATATGTTTAATTGTCAAGAAAATAATGTCAATGCAAATCAACTTGTTGACTCTAAAAGGCATTTTCTTAATTTTTACATTTATCATTATTTTGAATGTTGATTTTTATTTGATTCTAATTGTTGTAATATTGTATTTTTTTCTGTTACAGTAATAAATAATATGCAATGTTTTAAATTTAAATAAATAAATAAAAATTTAAAACAATTAAATGTAAATATGTAATATTTTTGATAAATACAATATAATACACATTTAAAACAAAAAAATGTAAATTTTTATATAACATTATTTTTACTATATGCTATATGTTATACATTATTTTGCATGACAATAATTACAGATTATGTAAAATTTTTTAATTGTCATTAAAATAATTTCGTAATGCGAAAAAGCTTGTGGATTCTGAAAAGGCATTTTCCTTATTTTTAAGTTTATATCGTTATTCTGAATGTTGATTCTCATTCAATTCTAATTACTGTAATATTGTATTCTTTTATATTACAGTAATACATATTATATAATGTTTTCAATTAAAATGTTGTTTTTAAATGTAAATATTTAATATTGTTTTAAAAATATAATTTGATATATATTTTTGCATCAAAGTAAGGGTAATTTGGGAATAGCTGAAAATAATGTCATACTGCATAAAAATATAATTGATTCTGAAATTTTCTATTACTGCGGAATATAATTTCTTATTTTTTTAAATTGATTTTGGAGTGAAATCTGGCATGTTTTGTGAGATTCACCCGGCGATATTCTCGTGTTTTTCTTTACGTCTCCGATGGGATGATGTAAATGATATTGTTATGCAGGAAAGCAAGCATTGCCTGTATAAACTTCAAAGCGTTTCCTTAGAAAAGCATTTAAACGGGTTTGCCGTGGCCCACCTTTTATCTGTGTGGGAACATCCCCTCTGGGACGACAGGAGAGAGAGAGAGAGAGAGAGAGAGATCAAGCCAAAGCAGCTAAACGAAGAGTGTGTTACCCTCCTCCTTATCAACATACATTTCATGCTCCTCCTCTCCTCACAGTGACAGGTGAAACCTCTGCAAATCTCAGCGGCTTACATCTGCTGTTTTCTCTTTCCTTCTTTTGAGAACACCTCGTGCGTGTGGGTGTATCGTCTACATTCAGACTTCCACGTATAGGGCATGTGTGTGTGTTTAGAGAGGCCGTTTTTCCCAGGGTGGTGTGTGAAGTGGGTCGTTCCTGACTGGAATGAGAATAAGCGGGGTGCCGTGCGACCCTGTGAGCTCCGAGCATCGGGCCTCAACGCCGCTGCTGTTGCCATAGTTATCGGTTAACCTATCAGAACTAGTCCTGCTCAACTGAACAGCCACCAGCTGCCACTGACTGTTCTCTCACTTCCAGGCCAAGGTGTGACTCAATTACAAGTAAACGTGAGGCTAATATTATTTTGTTTTTTAATGGAGTCTATGCTGTTGATGGAGGTAAACCTGGATCATTCCCAGCACATAGTGAGGCGCTAATGCAAAAATAAAGGTTCTTTACTGGCTTTGATGGTTCCATAAAGAACCTTTAACTTCCATGGAATCTTTCCAATCCACAAAGGGTTCTTTATAGTGGAACAAGGTTCTATAGTATGGAAGCTTATTTCCACCACAAAACAAAAAATAAAAACTGACTTTAAATCTCACAATTTCAACTTTTTTCTCTGAATTGTGAGTTTATACACTATAATATGGTCAAAAGTATTGTGACAACCCCTTCTAATGAGCAGGTTTCACTACTTTAGTAATTTCCATGAGTACAAATCTTAATGTTTAAGCATAGAATGATATTCTAGGGAATTGTGTGCTTCTAATTTTATAGCAACAGTTTGGACAGGACCCTTTTCTATTCTAACATGACAATGCCTCTGTGTATAAGGCAAGGTTCAAAAAGAAATGATTGATTTAGTCAGTGTGGAAGAACCTGACTGGTCTGCAGAAAGCAACGTCCTAATCCCAGCTGAACACCTCTGGTGGGACTTTACATGCAGACCCTGAGCCAAAAACTCATCACCAAACACCAATGATTTGTACATACACTATGTTGACAAAAGTATTGGGACACCCCCTTCTTTAGAACAGAAAAAGTCACTTCCAAAACGGTGGCAACGTAAGATGGAACACATAATTATTGTATTTAAAATTTGTATTTCCATCTCTGTTGCAACAGTTTTGGAAGTGTCTAAAATGACTGTACCCATATGCACAAGTCATTGGTGTTTGGTCTAAGTTTTTGGCTCAAGGACTGCATTTACAGTCACACCAGAGGTGTTTAGCTGGGATTAGGACTTGGCTTTATGCAGACCAGTCAAGTTCTTCCACACTGACTGAATCAAT